TCCTGCTGCCAGTGGCACGCAGGTCCCCGGGGCATTTTCTGCACATGCCTTTGGAAATCCTGTGCCTGGTGCTGGGCTGGGCTGATGTGGCTGCACATGGGCACATGCCAGCCTCGAGTGGTGTCACTCCTGTGCCAGGGGCTCAGTGCTGTCCTGGTGAGCTGCAGGAACAGCCCTCACACATCCTGTGGGGCAGCAGTGCATGATCCTTCCCAGGACCAACCCTGCAGTTTCCTCCTCCTGTCTCTCCTAAGCTTTGCAACCTCCCTGGAAACACAGGATTTTTCATACCTAGGAGGGACACACTCAGCCAAAGTGATTCAGGCTTTCAGCCTGGCCACAGTGTTCACCTGGTGCTGTTGGTGCTTCCCTTTGGCACTGGGCTGTCTGCACTGAGTGCTTCTGGCTGTCACAGGGCGCTGAGTTAGGAGGGGTAAGGTCAGGCCATACTCATTTCCTCCACAGCCACTTGGGACAGCCAGAAAAGGCTGGCTCCTCTGGCATTTGGCAAAGGTCAGCCAGCCCCAGTGCTTGCATTTCTATTCCAGCCAGCTCTGCTTCCCTGCCTGCTCCTGGGAGCACCACAACCAGGGCCTGGGTGCTCAGGTCTGACTTTTTCCTCCCTGTCTTTAGATAAATGTATTGGCTGTGAGCAGGGTCGTTTTCCAGCATCCCAGCAGTGACAGAGAGCAGAGAATGTCCTTATGCTTTAATGAGGGATTACAGGGAATCAGAAAGGGAAAAATGGATTTTTCATGATGGAAACTGGTCGATGCCTCTGGTCTCTGTGGGTGAAATAAGGGTAATATCAGGTTTCGTGCTCTTTCAGCAGGTCAGGAGCCAGCTGGGGCACATCTTTCCCAGTGGGAGATGCTCACATGGAGCCACCTAAGACCAGAGACAGGGATTCTCCTGCCCTAGCACCAACTCACCCCATGGCTGGCCTAGGAGAGGTCAGACTGAAGGAGAAATTTGTTCTGTTGGAAGAAACTCCTTACTGTAAGGATGGTGAGGCCCTGGCACAGAGAAGCTGTGGCTGCTCCATCCCTTGGAGTGTTCAAGGCCAGGTTGGAGCAACCTGGGATAGTGGAAGGGAATGGAATGAAATGAGTTTAAGGTCCCTTCCAACCCAAAGCACTCCCTGATTCTTTGAGAATAAAATTGCTCAGGTCAGTTTTGTCTGAAGGTTTTTATTGAGTTGGGGCTGGATCACCCATATATCCAGGGTTTTCCCCATGAACTTGCATCTTCTTGGGACTTGGGCTCAGATGTATCCTGTAGAGCTCATTGTTCTTCCTCTGGACTTCTCATGGAATTTCTGGTTTCTGGACCTCTCAGCAGGCTTCCTAGACCCCACGGGATGGGGAAAAACCCTTCATGCTGTCAAATACTGTGAGATGGGTTTGTGAAGGGAGGAACAGCCCCTCTACCCCTCAGGAGAGCTGAGAAGCAGACACTCACCTCAATCATCCTGTGCCTCAGTTTCCCTTGATTTGAAAGGAGCTGCTAATCCGTCCCAGCCTCCCAGGAGTGCCACGAGGCTAAATTCACCAGTCCCTGCACGTTTTTCTTTGGGTACCATGGTGATGGGGCAATGTGAGGACATAAAATGACTGATTTGCATTGAGATGCAAGGTGTCCCTTTGTCCTGAGCCTTTGGGCTATCTGGTTTCGTTGCCCATCTCTGGGGCGAGCCAGATATAGCAATGGAGTCACATGAAACAGCACAAAGGCTTTAATTCAGAGCTGGGACTGAGCAATTAAAATGTAGCATGTTCAGAAGGCAGCTTCCCTGGATGGCAGACAAAAAGAATCAATTTCCTTCAAACAAATACTAAATATTAATGAGAGGCCGTGGTCTGCCGTGCACACAGAGCTGGAAAGAGCATTTCCCGTTGATCACTGCGGAGGCAGGTTCGTGAGATGAAATTGCTTTTTGAGTGGTTATTTGTGGCCTTTCTCGAGGTGGCTCGTGGTTTGCCTGCCCAAAAAAAGAAAAGGAAACGCAGAGCATTTCCATTTTCCATCGGGGCAGGCACTGGGGATGTGTGCCCGTGCTTTCATTTTTGTTTACGCACTTGCCCGAGCGGTTGGGGAAATGTCTTGGATCGGTTACGTAGAAATCAGCCCCAAATTTACGTCTAGGAGGAAGCAATTCCCTGGGAACATCAGCCAGCTGAGCCTGCCCCTGGAATGGCCTGCCAAAGGCAGAACATGGGACCCAAGAGCATCCCCAGCTTTGCAGCCACATCCGCTCGTTGATTTATTTCGATAATGAGCATTGGGGGAAACATTAAAAAAATTACTTGCAGCCCTCACCAAGGATCCTAAAGTGAAAGCAGAGTGCTGGGAGCTTTGGAAGAAGAATTTTTTTCTATTGCTTTGACCCTTGGGTAAGTCAGGAAACTTTGAATTAACTCCATTGCAAAACTTAGAATTGGAAGAAAAATAAAAATGCTCCTCTTTTCCCTTTTCCAGGAGGCACAGCCCTGACATGGGGCTTGCCATGGTCAGCACGGTGCCCACCCTAACTGAGAGGGCAAACAGCACTCCAGGAATGGGTGCAGCCTCCTGGGAAGCTGCTGGTCTCAGCCCTGCTCTGTCCCACACATGGCCATGGAAGATTCTGGAAGCATTCTGCATCCGTCACACACTAAATAATAACACATCAGCTCATGATTTTATAAAGCCATTAAGGCAGCTGTGTAGCTGTGGGTCGATCGAGTGCTAATATTAGCTCAAAACGACTAAAATTAGAAAATTAGAACCAAGCCTGAACTAATTAGCTGTTCAAGAAATAGAACCAGAACCGGAACTAATTAATTGTTGCTGAAATATCGCCGCGGGACCCGGTGGGTGCCGCCGCTTCCAGCCCTGCGCTGGCTCCCAGCTTTGCTTGGAATGGCTCCTGTGTGGGCTTGAAAAGGAGCCTGGGGTCCCATCTGAAAGCTGTGACAGCTGAATAAGAGCTGGCCCCTCGGTCCCAGCTGTGTGAGGCAGCACAAAGCGGGCTGTGCTGGGAGTGATCCCATCGCAGCCCTGGCAGCTGCTGCCCAAAGCAGCCCCTCATCCCAGCCTTGCTGCCCAGATGTGCCTTTCTAAAGGTGAGGGTAATTACAGTGACCTGGCTCCCAGCAGCACACCAGCCCTTCCCTCTGATCCCAGCAGCCCTGCCTTCTTCTCCTTCAGCTCTTCAAAGCTCCCAGAGCAAGCCAGGAGCTGCCATCCATGCAAATGCTGCCAGAATAATTTCCAGGGAATTAGGAAGCTGGTACAGATAACTGGCACGTAGCTGCATTTTTCCATCTGTGACTCAAGTCACCTGTATGGTCACTTCTTTTTACTTTCCAAAGGTGGTAATGCACCTTATATTTCTTTTTTCACTCTCTCAGCACTCAAACAGCAGCGCTGATTTTAGCAGCAGCGTGACGCACGGTGTTTTAAATTCAATTTAGAATACAAACTATTTATACCAGCCAGAAAAAGGCAGTGAAGCAGCTCTCTCTGTCATGAGTGGATTTGTAATTTCAGAGCAATCATTGCATAACTAATTGAATCAGCTCTCAGCATGTGAAATCAGTGCCCCTGCTTATCAGAGGTTTTCATCGTTCCCCCCTCCTGAAGCCAGCAGTCCCCCTCCACCAGCAGCACTTTGTGCTTCTACATCAGCCTGGGAGGAAAGCAAGACCTGCAAAGCTACCTTTTTCTGCTCAAATTGAGCCAATAAATTACCAAATACATTCAGAGCAGATGAAGAGCTGGGTTGCAGGTGCCCCCAAAAGCTGCCCAGGCTCCGTGCGAGGGAGTGAAGTGCATTTGAAGCTAATCAAGTGCCAGCCATGTCTGAGAAGCAAATTGGTGCTGAGATGTTCTGCTGACTCCCTGCTTCATTGCCCAGGTGTGCTCTCTCTCCTTGGCTGGAATTTTGGGTCTGGTGTCTGATCCAAACCTCCAACTTTGGGTGCCTGAAAGTGGAGCTGAAGAGAAGAAATAAATATAGTGACAGCTTTCTGAGGGATGCAGGAAAGGTAGAAAACAAAGCAGCTGTGAGGATTTTTATCATCTGGGAGTGCCAGGCCTGGATTTGGTGACTGGGGTGAATCTGGTCTTGCAGATTTTGGGAGCAGCTGCCTCCCAGGGTGAGAGGGCACTTCCTCATCTGTAGGGTGGTTTGGGAAGGGGCCCATCAGCATCTGCAGAACAGGGAGCTGAATGTGGGAACCAGGAAAAATGTGCTGTGAAGGATGCTAACACCTCCCCAGGGATGCTGTGTGTGGATGTGTGAGTCCTGGGCTGTCACTGCTGGGCTGGGATGGGTGAGGAGGGCAGACTGAACCTGAATGGCTGCAATTGCTCATGAAGGCTAAGCTGGTTCAAGTGGAAGCATTTCTCTGGGCAAAGGTGGAAGATCTTGTCTTGAGGAAGCTTGAGGGAGGACTTGCAAACTTTTCTGGATATGCAGAGGGAGAGGTTGTTCCTGGTAGGTGTGGTCCCTGAGATTGGATGTGGGAGATGCCACAGCCCCAAAAATGAGAGCTGAGCGTTCCTGTGGTGCATCCCATGCCCAGGGATCTGTTTTCCTTTCAGGAGAACTATATTCAGATCCATGGCAGGAGCCTTTTGTTTTTTGTGGGCAGGGGACAGCCTTAACAACTCTCTCATCCTTGTTAGACACATGTCCAAGCCTTGTGTTCCCTAAAACTGATGTGCAGGGTATTTTCTGGTTTGTTTTTTTTGTTTTTTTTCACCAGGCTGTGCCTTGATGCTGCTGTCTGACCTCGTGTGCAAGGGCACATGCAATGCAAGCAGGGTCTGGCACAGGCAGGAGAAGGAGCTTGGTTCAGTCATGTCCCATCAGTGGCCTCCACTCGTTTCTTTCACAAAGCCACACAGATAAAATGTCCTGAACATGTGAGGCCGAGCCTGTGGGATTTGTTCTCCTGGGGCAGCGTGTTCCAGGCACCCCAACCACCCACTTTGTTTTTCCTTTGTCTCTCCAGGTAGCCAGATGGGAGCACAAAACACGAGCACTCAGCCAAATCTTCGGCTCTCCCCATGCTGCCTGTTACTGCCTGGGCGTTGCCATCCTGGTGCTGAACTGTGTGCGGAGCCACTGGTAAGGAGCTCATCCTGCTGCTCCATGTACATCCATGGAAAAAAATGACCCTTTGCACTCAGAGGGGGAGAAAAGGGACATTTTCTCAGCAGTGTTAAATCCAACCCCAGCATATTGCTTTCCCATGGTTGGATAACTTCAGCCAGCAGCAGATTTATTCCTGGATTTGTAATAAAGATGAGGGGCGCAGCAGCAGCGTGGCCAAACCCATCAGTTTCACCGGTCATTAAGTGTCACAGGTTACCTTGCTCTGCTCCCTGGGGATGTTTCCTCTCTCCTGTGAGCAGCCCAGGTGGCAAGGCTGTTTACACAGGATGGATCATATGTAACAGCAGAATTTTTTAATTTTCTTGTAAAAATCATAAACAAAATTAAAGCTGCTTTTAAGAAGCCGCAGTTTCCTGTGCAGAAGAGCAGGATTACCTGTGCACTTAACAAACAGTCTCTTGAAACTCTTATCTGCTATCTCTAAACACTACCTGTGCTGGCTAATGGTATTGTATGACTGATACACCATACTCCATGGGAGCATGTCCTTTAACGTTCCCAGTGCAGCAGAGAGGTTTTACTGCAGAAGATTTCCTCAATGCCAGCAATTTATCTGTGATCTGGTAGGCTTTATCTCCACTGCTGTTAGGAGAGACAGACTCACTAAATTCTCAGATTCAATTATACCAGGGTCAGAGCTAATGGGTTGTTTAGTACTCTGGGTAATTTCCTAGGCGAAGAGTTCTCAGGTTGGAATTTGCACATGTATTTAAGAGCTCTGCTTTCCTGGAAATGACACCAGGACCTGCCCTTGCCCTTCTGTGTTTGTCCCAGCTACTGATGGCAGAAACTGAAAGGAAGCTTGCAGTGAACAAGGCTATAATCGAATGCAGAGGGCATGTGTGTGTGCTGCTGATGTCTTAGTGACACAGCGGGCTTGGATTTTGCTGGGGAATGTCTCGACAGTCTCTTGCACAAATTACATAGTCACTTGTTGTCTGGGAAGCAATGCAAAGCCCTGTCCTTGCCTTTAATTAAAAACACAGCTGGTGGAGGGACAATCTCCATTTCCAGTGGTCCTGGGTCAGCGAGGCTCATGGGTCACAACGAGGCACTGAGAGGGAACTGCTGGGGGAGCCAAAGTGGCCTCGTGTGTCCTGGACTGTGTCACACTGTGTCCCTGCAGAGCCCTCAGAGCCCTACCAGGGCTGGCTCTGCTCTGTGTCATGGGTCTGGGGGGACTGTGGGACACGCTGAGTTTGGCTCTGCCTGTGCAGCCCAGCAGCTGGGCCCTGCAGGAAGCAGCAAGGTTGATTCAGGGGCTGGAAAAGCTCCACCTGGGCCTTGGGTTTGGAGGAGAGGCTCTAGAAGATGGGGCAGCTCAGCCCCAGCAGAACACAGATGAGGCACCAGCCCATCCTGAAGGACCAAAGCCTTTCAAATTATTGCAAGGGAAAGTTCCTTTTCCCCAGATGTTTCCACGTGGTTGGGTTGTTCCCTCCCCTTTCCTCGGTGCTGAAGTTGGCCTGAGTGATGGCTAGCAGGCTTTGGAAGCTTTTCTGGCAAGGCAAGCCCATAACTGTGAGGGGGATTGGGTGGTTCCAGGGTAATCATCAGAGCAGAAACTACTGAAGTTATCCCAAAACACACCTGGGAGCCTCACTGCCTCCATTCCCAGCTCAGTGAGCCCTCCAGGGCTGCCCAAGGCTTATTTCTCCAGCATGGAGAGCTTTTTCTGCTTGGCAAGGATTCATCCTGCTCCTTAGCCTTGCATGACGGTACCAGCCAGGTCCAGTCCAGGGTTCTGCTGACCAGAGGGGCTTCATGTGACAGTCACTGTCATCTCAGTGACCAGTGATGCTGGGAGAGACATGTCTAACCTGCTCTTGCTATTTTGCTTTTCCCTTTATTTTATTCTCTGAGTCACTTTCACTGGAGCAGGTTTTCTGCTCCTCAGCCCCTCGGAGACAATCCCTTGGCACGGGCCAGGGTTACTTGTGCAGAGCGTGAGGGCTGCTGAGAGTGAGCAAAAAGGCAGCCTCAGGGGTCCCTCCACCTCCAGTGCTGTAATCCAGCCTTTAAAACTCCTCTTTTCCTGCTCTGGGGACTTGTTACGTGGGTGGAGGCTGCCAGGGAGCGATGTGGAGCCCAGGGGATGTTTCTTTTGGCTTTAAAAGCCTGCTTCCTTTTTGCAGCTGAATTCTTGAAAGACTCCGAGCTGGGGGCGGAGGAGGGGAGGGCAGAGCAGACAGAACTTGGGGAGGGGGTTGGCATTTTGGCTGACAGCACCTGGGAGCTGGGGTGTGTGGCTGCTTCACCACCTGCCCCCCGCAGGGTCTGTGCTGCGGTCCTTCCTCAGCAGCAGCACCCCGATGCTCTCGTGCCAGCTCGGCTCCAAAAGGATACCTTGCGTGTAAGAAGAGGGATGTCTTTGTGCTCAGTTAAGCAATTAGATGCTTCCCAGCTCTCAGCTTCATTATCAGCCTTGGCTTGCAATCCAGACTGACCTGTGACCAGGGGGGACCTGCTTAGTCAAGTGCACAAGACAAGCATCCTTAATTGCTTTGGTGCAATGATTATTTTCATTACAACAGTTTCTTTTTGCAAGAAGCAAGGAACTTCCATCACCGAGGCTCTTATCTGTGAAAACAATTCCTGAACTTTTGAACTATCTGCACTGTGTGCAGTTTGTGGCTGTTATCTGTGTGACATGGGACGTGACAACCTTCACTGTCCTCCAGACTCGCTTCTGGTATCGCTCCCTCCTCCTTCACCACGTTGTTGGTATCTTTCCCTGCATCAGTTTATTCACAATTAGCCACTGGCACTGCCTCCAAACCCTCCTGCACTGCCTTTGGCACTCCCTGGCACGCTCCCCACCCTTGGGCAGGCACACAGGGAGGTTCTGAGCCTCCCTCCTGATGGGTCTCAAGATGTTTGCCTGAGCTTAAAGGCAAGAGCCACGTGCCCACCTTGACTGGGGGGGCTGCAGGTGTTGGGGTGTGTCAGTGTGAGTCCCACAGAGGCTGTGCCAGGGCTCAGTGGCATCGTGCTGCAGGCTGACATCGAGTCCTGCATTGATGCCACGCTCTGGGTCTTGCCTCCTGTGTGGATTTCCCACTTGGAGCTGATGCTTCCAAGAAAATGAATCCACCCTGGGATGGGATTTTGCACAGAAAAGGGGTTGTTTGTCATTGCCAGGTAGGGCCTCTCACCTTATGCTCAATCCTGTTTAATTTTGTGAGCTGGCACCATGAATGAGTGTGCTGTAAATGGCATTGATCCCAGAACCACATGGCCCTGTGTGCAGAAGTGACCGAGTTTGATGATGGGAATCGAACATGGCCTGACTGAGCCGATGCCCCCTGTGAGCCACAGTGACAGAAATATCTGATACCTGTTCAGGAAAAGCGCCAGGGAGCCAACAGCACCTCCTGCCCACGGCATCCAGATGAGGAAACCTCACAGCTCAGATGTGAGGCAGGGGGAGAAGCTGCCACAACCCCCAGCTGACCTAAATAACACACACACCCCAGTGCTGTCAGAAAAGCAAAGTCATTATTGGCAAAAGAAGCTGTGAGGATGATGACTGGGCTGACAATTGCCAGTGGTATCAGCAGGACGATTTCGGTGTTGTTGAGGTTGCTGTTTTCTAATGAACAAGATCTTTTGTTGCAGCTTGTGCTGCTGGGCACCACCAGATGGTTTTTATCCCCTTTGCCTCCTTTAGCCAAGAGGAACAAAACCCCAGGCACGGGGGACAGAGCGACGTCCCACACAGTGACTGTGGCACCTCGCAGTGGTGGCTGTTGTCACCGAAACCCTGGCTGCCTGTACCACTGCTGCTTCCTTGCTGCCTGCTGGCCCCTGGCCCAATTCTGCTCCAATTGTGCTTATCAGCCCCAGTTTCCAGGCTGGTTTTTGGGATCAGTCAAAGGGAGCACTGCTGGGCTGCTCCCTGCAGCGACCCAGTTTGCTGGATGAGGTCTTTGTCCTCCTTTAAGGAGAGGGATGACAAAATACACTTGGTGGGGGAAACTGAGAGATGCCCCCAACAAGACCTAGAAACCTCAGCTTCTCTTTTAGTACAATATTTCCAGGTTTTCTTCCTGCTCCCTTGTGGCCTTTGGGGATGTGTTTCGGACTGTGACTTGTTAAGTTTTCTGGTTGAATAAATCAGCACCTGATGTGCAAACCTGGCTGCACGTCCTGTCCATGTCCCAGCCAGGGGATCTCCTGCCTATTTCCCTCACTCCCACTTTATTCCTGTGAACCCACTGGTGTGACATGTCCATTCCCACAGTGCAGAGCCACTCTGAGTGGTTTTCCAGTTCATATGGTTTATTATGTGGTAGACAGAAAGAAGAGGGATTCAGACGAGATACAGGGAAGAAATTTTTTATGAGGAAATGTTTTATGTGGAAACACAGGTTGCCCAGAGAAGCTGTGGCTTCCCCATCCCAGTGGCCAAGGCCAGGTTGGGTGGGGCTTGGAGCAACCTGGGATGGTGGAAAGTGTCCCTGCCCATGGCAGGGGTTTGGAACTGGATGGGCTTTAAGGTCCCTTCTAACCCAATCCATTCTGGGATTCCCATGGAGCACTGATAAAACTTCTGAGTGTCTCAGCATGTACCTCTCTGTTTTTAATCTGCTGAGCTGAACAATGCCTGCTGCCTTGGCTGCTCCTCTCCTGCCAAGAATTAGCCAAATCTGCCAGTTTGGCCAGAGCAGAGTTGGAGGATTTGGACATTTCCCATGTCACATTGGTGACATTTCCCATGGACATTGGTGGAGAATGTGTGCCTCTGGTGTCGTGCTTCAAATTGGCAAGTGTGGGGAGATGTCAGGGGAAGCCCCATTACCCCATTTTGCCTTTGCAAAAGCTGGGGGCATCTTCTAAGCCCCCCATCATGGGGACAGCAGCCAGGGATGTGATCAAAGTAGGTCTCAGCCTCCCCACCCTCCCCTTGTGCTGGAAGAGGGATGGCTGCTCCTCACCATGGCAATCACTCTGCTCAGCACAGAAGGCAGTTCCAGGTACTGGGACAAAGCCTGGCTCTAATTGATGTCCTCTTGGATGCTGAGCGGTGCCGCTGCCTCGTCGTGAGCCTGAAATAAACGCTGTCACCAACGTGACTCAGAGGCACATGAAGGAAGGGACTGGTTTCATGACAGACTGAAATATGTCATATTTCAAGAGACTGGCTCCCTAGCAATGGAAATGCCCAAAACCTTGTCCTTTCCTGCCAGGGAGGGCGAAACACGGCCAGGGAGGCTCCCTCACCATCCTGGATGCTGGAATAATTGATGGATCCGTGCTGTTTGTCACGGCCCAGCACCGAAAATGCTTTAAAGGTTTATTTACCAATTCTGAGAACTCCTGAGCGCATCATGTTTAATGCAAATAGAGAGTGTGTTTAGGAAGATATAAACCATTCCTAGAGGGAAAGGCAGTCCATTATCTCCGTGCAAACACCTCCCTCCCTAGCTGTAAGCCAAACAGCAGGGAACTGAGCAAGACAAGCTGATGAGAATAACTAATGCAGGCCTATCCAACCATGGAAAGGAAGGATGGGATCATCTGGAGCGGGAGAGACAGCTTTGCCAAAACAAACCATGCCATGTGCTGGTTGCAAAACTTCCAGTGCTGATTCCCAGCCAACCAGATCATGCTTTTGAAGCCACCTTTGTTTCATGTTCCAAGACCAAGTCAGGTCATCAGCATTGGACAGAGGAGTCCTGAGGATGTGAGAGAGTGTGAACCCAGCTCATCCAGAGCAGGCTCTGAGGGCTTTGCTCTTGCTGTACCTCTTTCTGCTTTGCCATCTCCTTGCCAGTGCCTGGGATCCAGCACAGCATTGCTGGCCCAGATTTGCCTTCCTGGGGATCAGCAAATTGCTGTAAAATCCTTCCTGGTGCTGGTGCCCTCTGGATAGGTCCTGGCCAGGTGTGGAGCCAAACCCTCATGCTGTGAAAGGCACATCCTCCTCTGTGTGAGTAAAGAGCTGCAGAGCATCCCTGGGGGTGTCAGGGTGTGTTTTGAGTGCACAGCCAGGCCAGGATTGCTCGGGCAGAAAGGCACATCCCTGCAGGGGGATTGCTTTCCTCCCAAACACAGGCAGTGCTGGGAGCAGGGACATGGATTTTTTGGCTTCCTCATAGAGGAGACTTGTGTCATTTCAAAATAAACACCACAGAGATGATGCAAAGGATTGTGCAGCTGCTTCTGCTTCACAGTGCAGCCAGATTTGTGCCTTCCCATCAGAAATGATTTAAAGCTAAGCCAGTGTGAGCCAGGTGAGCCCAGGGAGCTGTGCTGGGCACTGGAGCAGGGCCAGCTCTGGGGACTGTGCCTGCATCGCCTGGGGCCACGCTGTTGTTCCTCTGTCTGTGCTTGGCTCCCAGGAAAAGGAATTTCCCTGTAATTTCCAGAGTGCAAACCACCCAGATGCTGTGGTTCTGCTCACTTCTGAGCATATTACATTTATTCCATGTTTTGTTTCCTTGCTCCAATCCAAACTGATGATTAAATGTTTTGTTCTGGGGTCCTAAAAACTCCTCAACAATAGAAAGCCTAGTGGGAGCAAACTCCAAAGTGAACAGAGAATATCATCCAGGTTCCTAAACCAGAGTATAAGTATTATCCTGGACTTGCTTGGTGCATGAACTTGCCACCAAGCCTTTGAAGGATGTGTTTCCAGCTGCCTGGCCTTCAGCCAGGACTGTCTCTCTCGGCTTTTATTTGGGCAACAGGGAAAATCCAGAGGTTTGCAGGGCTTAGGGAAGACAGACACCAGGGGAAAAAGCTATCCCAAGCCCTGCAGGTAGCATTATGGAAGCACTTTCCAGCTGATGAGCCCAGGACTGTGGGCAGGAATAACTCTCCTGCCCCTGACAGACAGTGGTGGCTGGAGGCACAGGAAAGCTGTTAATTCCACTTGAATTTTAGCCTCCAGGGTGCTCATTAAAAAAAGGCTCCAAGTTTCCTACCTCATGTGTCAACAACATGTGGAGAAACGCTGTGTAGGGCTCTGTGGGTCTGTTATCTCCTCTCCTGTTATTAATGGTGTTTTTTTTAATCACAGCGTTGTCTCTTTTGTCATCGCGCGTTTGTGTCGGAGCCGTGTGCGATGCAAATCCTGGCAAGCCCTGCTCTGGGCAGAGCTCAGGGGGCTGTAGGGAGGGGTCATCATTATTCCAATCACAAAGGAGTATTTGGAAGGTCAGAGTCGAAATGCCTGACCCAGCCTGGAACAGAGGAGCTGTGCTCGCACTGGAAAACGCCTCGTCTCTCTCGTATTTTCCTTTTGCCGTTCCAATCCTCCCCCTGGCTGTCAGGCTCCAGCTGTGAATCACTCCTGGGCACGTGGCTAACACATGAATGCTGCAAAATATTTTGATGGAGGGGAACGGGGGTGGGAGCACGAGATAATCCAGCCAATTGTTCCCAACCCTTCGAGTCCTGTGCCTCCAGCATTTGCAAGGGCGTCTGTCCCAGAGCTCTCAGTCATGCTGAAAAGTGGGATTTGGTGAATAAGGCAAAGCATTTGATATCACTGGTCAGTGGGACTGGTATTTCCAGGAGTGAGCAAGGGTTGTAAGTAGAAATAGCTGTCCCAGATTAAGCCCTGGCTCCTCACAGTCTTCAGCTGATTGCTTCTCCCACTGGGAGGCTGAGTAGGCCTGGGTGGAAAAAGAGATTTGGAGAGGGAACCTCTTCAGCAGCTCCCACTCCCAAAGCTCCACGTCTCCCAGGGAGATGTGGGTGATGTTAATTATGGGTTGCTGCTCGTAACAGCCCTTGTTGTCTCCCCAACAGCTTCACAGAAGCCATGAAGAGCCAGCCAAAGCTGGAGAGCTGGGACTGCCTTTGGACCTACTACACAGGCTTGGCCATCTCAGCTGTAGGGACCTTGTTTGTCATCTCCAGCTTCTTAGCACTGGGATTCACTGGGACCTTCCTAGGTAAGCACTGAAAATCCAACAGCTTTACCAGAAAATGCATTTAATCCTTGCAGGGATCTCTTGCTGGGGCACAATCCTGTAAGAATTTCCTCATCCTTACCTTCAGGGTTGTTAGATTTGTCATTATGATACCAAAGGATGACCCAATCCTGCTGTTACCTCAGTTACCACACACAGAGGGGATGGCACAGTGGTTTTATACAGCAAATCCCATCACCTCCAGCATCAAGCCTGGAGGTTTGGAGCACAGCTGCTCATCTGCCAGCTCAAACACCCTCCAGAAAAGCAGCCCCAAGTTCAAGACCTCACAAGTAGCCCTGGCACAGTGGGTGTGAGCTGTCCAGCAGCCCTGCTCCGAGCACCCACCTGCTCATCACACGTGCTGAGGCAGGATGTTGTTTGCTCTCCCCTCTGCAATAAACCTGATGTTCGCTGACAGATCCTTTTATCTGCCGCTTTATGGCAGAAGGCATTTTCCACTGTGCCTGCTTTCACATTTAGAGCGTAATTCTGTTAGCATTGTTGACTTTGAAAACATGCCAGTATGTGTGGAATTCATAAAAAATAAAGTAGAGACAGGAACAATAAATATCCAAGGAAAGGGGCAGCTCCTGCTGGCTGAAATAATCACAGCCCCAGCTTTGACACCTCATTTAGGCTGTGCTTTTGCAAGTGCTTTACAAACCAGATTCAATTAGCTCCTGTGGCGGTGCTAGGAAGAAGAGAGGGACGTAATAAGCCTTCCTGGTTTCAAGTGGAGTTGCAAAAAAATGTGTTGAGTTGGCCGAAATCCTGCTGCCAAAAATAGAGCTCAGCACTCCTAAACGTGTGCCCTCACCCTCCATGTGCAGACTCACTCCTGGCACCCTGTCACACCCCTGTCCCTCAGCTGCCGGGCACCAGCATCCTCCAAAATCACCAGCAGCCCTCTGAAGTGATGTCATGGCTGTGGAGTCATGTCCAGCAAAGCCAGGCACAGGAGTACCCATCAGCAGGAGCTGCTTGAACGCTCCTGAAGTTCAGCCAGATCTGGAGTTGTTTACGTAAAGCCTGATTCATCCCACCAGGAGGATCCACTGGACTTGAACCGCTGGGAAAAAGCAAACAAGTGAGTCAGGCTCAGCGTAAGAGGTGAGAGGGTCCTGTTCCTCTGATCTGTATCCCTCGAGGCAGGGAAGAGCTGGGTGCTAGTGGTCCATATAAGGCATTTCTGCTCCATCCTCTCTGCCAGGGAAGCTCTCTGGACATGCCAAGGACCAGCTCTCTCTGCTAGCAGGGCATGACGGGCACCAGGGCACAGCTGAGTCAGGCTGGGGACATTCCAGGAGCATTTCAGGCTGGCTCAGAACCTCTGCAGCACTGAGGCATGGCCCAGCTAGAGGACCATAGAAGATCCATCCTTGGACTGGTAACAGCTTCTCCACTCCACACAAGCCCCATTAGTCCAACAAATTCTTAATGGAGAATGTCCCTCAGCGTGGTTTGTTTCCCAGCTGTGAGGAAGACAATGGGTCTGCAGGTCTCTGAGTATCCCATATGGGATGTTCTCTTGCTCAGGACTCTCTCAGGACTGGTACTTCCAATACCCATGCAGGATTTTAGTGCTGCCCTGGTGCTGCAGGTGGAGCAAGGACTCCAAATAGCAAAGGGCTGCACTGTTTGGCAAGGAGGGGGCATCCAGCTTCTTCTCACTGTTGACGTCTGAGCTCAAGAGAAGTTTTGAGAGAACCTCTGACACACAGGCACTTCAAAAATTACTGGACCTGGATGTGACCCTTTGTGGGTTTTTCTACAGCAATGAGGGCTGAACCAGGCAGGGCACAGGGATGCCTGTTGAATTCCTTCCTTACAGCACATTCAGGTTTTGGAGCAGCTGCAGAACACTTTGTCTCTCTAGTGTGGGCTAAATGGTGCAGTGGGAGCTGTGTGAGTCACCCTTCTCCAGCAGCCTGGCTGTGCCACCCCATCTCCAGCATGGCAGCACCAGCTCCAGATGCTGTTGGCAGCGGCTGGATGTGGTCCCTCGTCCTGGCAGAGCCATCCCTGGTGCCCTGTGCCCTCACTGGGATTCAGGCATCACTTCAGCACCCTCCTTCCTTGTCCTATTTCCCAAAAAAACACAGTGATGAGGGCTTGGCTTATCTCAAGGCTGAGGACATGGAGAGGCTGCTTTGCCTGTTACATTTTTTCCAGCACTGACCAAGATTTCTGAATCTGAACTGACCAAAGTCTGTTGCTGGGCCTGGAGAAGCTGACAAGTGTCCAGGGTGAAGCAGAGGTGGTGCTTCAGCCCAGGTCAGGCTCCAGGGATTCTGGGGGACCTTGCAGCGTGCACTGAATGGCTTTTTGCTGCTGTCATCCCACCCTGTGCAGTGAGATGGCTGCACAGACCTCCAGCAAAAAAATAACTCAAATTAGATGCCAAAGTGCCTTGGCAAGGCTGATTCCTGATTTGAGGGCTCATGAGGGCACAGGAGATGCCCAGGGTGATGCTGTGCAACACAACACACAGTCCTGTCCCTAAGCACCTCTCTGAACATAAACACATATAAACCACCTCTCTGCTGGTCATGTTCATTGACCTGTGCAGGTTTAGAGGCAGAGATTACACTGGAAGATCTCCTGGGGAGCTGCCTGTGTGCTCCTGCTCATGGGGAGCCTGCCTGGAGGGTTGCACAGCCCCACCAGTGCTGGGCACAGATAAGTCCCTGCCAGCCCCACAGACCCAGGGCTTTGTGTGAACCTCCTCAGTGCCAGTGCCAGAGTGAGGTGTTCAGCTCAAAGGCGAGGGCGGGCAGGGGATAATGAAGCATTTTGACACATAAAAAAGCACAGAAATGGGCTGTGGCAGGGGGTGATGTGTTCTTTCTACCAGAACAATCTCAGAGATGAATTGCCAAGTAACTGTGAGAACATATAGTATGAATACAAGGCAATTATCTCACTTAGTGGCCTGTAGTTAAAGCCCAAAAGCATTGTGTAATTGGGCAGGGGCTGTTTATCCTTAGAAATAAATGTTTTAGCACCATGTGAGGTCAAAGAAATTACAATACTATCCAGGTAATAATAATAACCTTGAATAGTTTGCACTCCTGTAATGCCTTTCATCTGGATTTGTGAGCACTTTCTCACCATACATTAATCCTCACCACCCTCTGTGCTCTAAGAAAGACTGATGTTATGATCGGTGCACAATAGCACCGGGAGGGACGGCCCAAGGTCAGGGAAGGGGCTGGCAGCAAAGCTGGGGACACAGCCCGGGGTGGTGGCAGTGCCCTGGGCTGGGGGACCCGCTGCTCCTCATGGATCAATGCTTCTGCAGTGGACATGGAGCATGGGTGGTGCAGAGGTTGGGAAGGAACAGAGCTGGGGAAGGGTTTGGAGCAGCAGGAATAGCTGAAAGAGCTGGGAGAGGGGCTCAGCCTGGAGAAAAGGAGGATCAGGGGGAACCTTTTGGCTCTCCACAACTCCCTGACAGGAGGGTGCAGCCAGAGAGGGGTCAGGATCTGCAGCAAGGGACAGGGCAAGAGGAAATGACCCCAAGTTGTACCAGGGGATGTTTACATTTGATGTCAGGAAAAAATTCTTCACCGAAGGGGATGTCAAGCCCTGACACGGGCTGCCCAGGGCAGTGGGGGGATTTAAAAGTCATGTAGATGTGGTGCTTTGTGGTCTCACTTGTAAGAGCCAGAGACCTGCATCCTGGCCCTTTACTCCCCTCGAAATGTTGCTCACAAGCTGCACATCTCCTTGTCATTTCTTTTCCAAGCTCCTTTCAGGGAGGGTGGAAGGATTACTCCAAGGTAGATGGAAAGCTGGTTGGGTGCTGACAGTTCTGAAAGCATTCCTCATTACAGATGACAGTCACCCATTATCATCATCATCATTGTGCTGATAACTGAGTGTTTCGTAGGCAGAGGTGCTATTTTCTGAAATTCTGAGAAACTCTCTGAACTATGAGGTAAGGGTGACATTATGGATGAGGACATTTGGTCGTGGTGGTCATGATTATAACAGCTCCAAACACCATTACACGGCACCGGGTTTATTTTCACATTAAATGGATTTGATCCCATGCACTTGCTTCCTCATGGAGAGGTGTTGAACAGGCAATTTTACAAATGAAAAAACCAGAATCAACCAGTTGGGACCTCGAGAGCTGTGTCCTGATGGGGGACGTGGCTGCCACAACCTCATTGCAATGCAGGAACCTTCCTCGCGGGCAAAGAGCCATTCCTGGAAAAGCTGATAGACACAGAGTAAACAAACAACTTATTTGTTGCTGTTTCCTCAGCCTGGAAATCAGTGCTGAAACCCTTTTCTGTGTATCCCTGGCAGGGATGCCCTGTGGCACAGGGAATCAGTGTGCCAAACCCCCCCCCATGACTCCCAATTTCATGGAGCCTAACCAGAAGCTCTCTGTTTGCTCTTAGGTGATTACTTTGGCATCCTGATGGAGGAAAAAGTGACCAGCTTCCCTTTCAGCATCCTGGATAATCCCATGTACTGGGGCAGCACAGCCATCTACCTGGGCTGGTCCCTCATGTGAGTACGTGCCCCTACAAACACCTCTGGTTGTAGGGCGAGTGTGGGGCCAAAAAGACACCCTGTGATGGCAGAGAAAGCACAGCCTGCCCTGACTTCTGCCTCCCCTGGCTATTTTTGTGTGTGGAAAATCTTGTGCTGTCTCGAAACACTCACAGCATTTCTTGTAGAAAAATAAATAGCGGCCAAGTGCTGGGGGAGAGGAGGCATCAGCAAACGCTCTGCAGCTGAATGAGGTCCTTGGCAGGCTCTGCACGTGGAAAAATCAACATTCAGGGCCAAATTCATGCAGGGTGTCACTCGGCAGGGGCAGGGCACTGGTACTGGGGAGCAGTGTGACCCTGCAATTACTCTGAAAAAAGCAAAACAAGCCAAGCCACCCTTTCCCCCAGCCCACGGTGATAACACTTCCGAAACACTCCTTGTGTGATACAACACAGCTTAATAGCCTGCTTAGGAGGAAATGAATAGGCTGTAATTTAGCAGCAAATGAGCAATATACTCTATTCAGTCTAACAAGTTTGATGTGGTTTTCATTTAATATCACATTTTATTTATTTGCCCAGGAGGAAAAAAAAAAAACAACAAAAAAAGAGAACAAACCTGGCTGTGTTACTTCAGGAGCCCATGGAGTGTTGCAGGCCGTTATCACTGGGTATTTTGCACTGGTGCTCCTGACTGTGAACACCTCTCCTCTGCTTGGCTGGAAGAAATTAAGTGCTTTGCCACTTTCTGGTCATTTTTTTTCAGCCATGTGTGCAGCCCCTGGTAATAAGTAAAGCTGATGGTTTCTCTCCTGTCTCCACTGAACCTTGCTGCTGTTAGTTCTGCACTTGAAATCCCCCCAGGTGCTGTCAGGGTTGGCTGCATGAGGCTGTTTCCCTTCCTGGCAGAGCCACAGGATGGGGTTTAAATCCTGGGAAATGGTGCAGGAGAGCCAAAGGGAGGCAGAGTTGGCCACAGGATCTGCAGCAGCACCATGGAAATGTGGATATTGCTGTGGGAAGTGGGGCAGAGCTGGGATAGGATGAGTCACCCACACCACGACCCCCACAGCAGCACAGAAATAGGAATTTGACCAGGAGGAATTACAAGGAGATCTTTATTTGTTTTAAAATCAGCATCAAACTACTTCCTAAAATCTTTGCAGAATTTACTGAACCCTCCTGAGCTGTTTCTGTCACAGAATCCCTTCTTCACCCCTCTCATTGTGGTTTTCCACCACAATTCTGGGCCAGAGCAGCTGGAAGCAGCTCAGGATAGCAGTGATTGCCTCCTTTTTCTCATTAAAAGGCTGCCACCATTAAGCCCAGTGAGGCATGACAAATAATTGCTGAGAACAAATTGCTGGAGCTGTGCAAAGTGGCACCAAGACACCACCCACCTGCCTGGGGGAAGCTCAGCACAACCCTTCTCATGGTGGTTTTGGCTGTTTCTCTTCCCTGGGACCTCAGTTCGTACAATCACAGAATCATTTAGGTTGGAAAAGGATTATAAGATCATCGAGTCCAAACATTAACCCAGCACTGCCATGATCAGAGATAAAACATGTCCCCAGATGCCACATTTACATGGCTTTTAGATCCCTCCAGGGATGGTGACTCCACCACTGCCCTGGGCAGCTCTGCCAGGGCTTGACAACCCTTCCAGGGAAGAAATTTTCCCAGTATCCAACCTAAACCTCCTGTGGGGCAACTCAAGGCCATTTCCTCTTTTCCTGTCGCTTGTATTCTGGCTTCACTCTTCTGTCAGGGAGCTGGAGAGAGTGAAAAGGTTCCCCCTGAGCCTCCTTTTCTCCAGGCTGAGCCTCCCTATCCTCCTCAGCTGCTCCCAGTGCTCCAGACCCATCCCCAGCTCTGTTCCCTTCTCTGGACACCCTCCATTGGCCGATTTTTTTGGGGGTCCACGCTTTCTCCTGAGGTTCAGAGCTTTCAGAAGATGTCAGGTGTCTGCCCTCAGAGGCCAGGGCTGATGTCCCATCTCTGTGACAGCAGGAGGGATGCTGGAGGAACCCTGCACCTGTCTGATTTTGGCCAGACCTAAAAGAACAGAGCACATTTGTCCTCCCTTGGTGATGCACCACACTCCTTATCGTGGCATCAGAACCCAAAGGATTGATCCATTCTCATCCATAAGGGATGAAAACATCACATTTTACCAGCTTGTCCTCTGACTCCAGCCCAGCCTTAAAAGCATCTGGTGAGGTGACCCACAGCCATGGGGAGCTGCAGCAAGGTTGGGGACTGACAGCTACCCAAAAACTACCCCAAAAAAACTCCTGCCAGGACAACAAAACCTTCCTGACTGATTCATCATCGCTGCTGCAATCAGATGTGGCCCAATATGTAGGTCAAACTCGTAAGAGGACAGGAACAGTTCACCCAAATGCTGCTCATCACCTGTGTCGAGCAGCCTCATTTCTCCTGCGAGACAAATGGAGCATTCACTGTGTGGGGACAGCTTTGTGTGCCTCTGGTAGGGAAGTGTTCTAACTCACAGCAACAGGCTGTGTAAATCAGAGCTGGAGCTGCAGCCAAATGATGCAATTAGAGGTCTTGCTGTCAACAAACAATCATGTAAATTTGTTCTCTCTGATAGGAATCAAGAAGGAGACATGACTAAGCATGTAATAGCAGGGGCTTGGGAGAGGAGGAAGTTGCCCGAAGCTTCCTAATGAGGGAAAAAGTTATTACAGAATGAAAATGGTGAAGAGGTGATTTGTGGGTGCCTCTCCAGGGACTGACAAAGCTGGATGGTTCCTGAAAGTGGCTCCAGTATGAGGTTTAGGTAGTTCAGTCTCTCTTTCTGCAGGTGTGTTTTCCCAGCAGCACAAGTCACCCTGCACCAGGCTTGTGGGATGTTTATCCTCATAAAATCACAGAATGGTTTGGGTTGGAAGAAACTTGAAAGCTTATCTTAATTGTCCCCTTTAATTAGGACACTGGTGATTGCCTTTAACTGCTGGTGGCAGCTCTGAGAGGGATGAGGGCTGGCTGTCAGCAAATAAAGTATTTAGTCCTTGGTGGGGAAATGTGCAAGGCCAGGCTGGACATGGTTTGGAGCAGGCTGAGATTGTGGAAGGTCTCCCTTTCTCAAAGATGAGCTTTGAGATCCTGTCCAGTCAAAGCCATTCCATGATTCTACAGTTCTATGACATTTCAGAGCAGGAGGTGATGAGGATTTTTGGTCTCAAAGCTATGGTCTCTGCTAAAAGGAACAGCCATCTCCCTTGTGTCCTGAGCTCTTGATCATCTCTCCCCATGAGAAGACAGCAGGGAGCAGTGTGTGGCATCGGTCCCCTGGTGACATCTCACTGGAGGACACATTCCTGATACACCTTGAAATGGCTTTAAAAGTGAACCAAGCCCCCAGCACCTTTACCAGGGCAGGAATGGACCTTCCCATCCCTTTCCATCCCCATCCCTGCCCTGGCTGAGCCACCACTTGGATGTGTGCGATGCCATACACTGCTCTGGCTGCCTTTTGTCCCCTGTGCCCTGGGTGGCCCATCTTTTTGGGACATCAGGCATTTCCCTGGGAGCATGGGCTGGGAGCTGCAGCCATATGTCAGCAGCTGCTCAGCCCTTAAACATCCCTATAATCTCAGGATTTAGCATCAAAGCAGGAGCTCTCATAGCAGAGACGTGCAGGGATCAGACTTAAAAGAAGTCGCTGAAGTAGGCTGGGGAAGAGTCTTTGCCAAGTAACATCTGTCTAAGACAGTTAACATGAAACACAGAAAAAAAAACCCCAACCCTTTTGTTTGCTTCTGTTTAATGAGCAAGCGAGAGCTCTCTGCAGCCCAGTGTCTCATTTCACTTTCTCAACCAGGTCTTGCATAAGCCCATGTACTTACCTGATCTTTTTCCTTCTCTTTCAAAACAGGCACGCCAGCCCAGCTGGCCTTTTGCTGACAGCTGTAGTGGCAATTTCCTACACAATCGCTGTGCTGTACGAGGGGTGAGTAGCTGTGCAGAGCTGGAGAGCTTCTAATTATTTCTACCAGCTTTAACTCTCAAGGTTTCAGAGAGCTGCACAAGTAGAGATGTTTTTTTTTTCCCAATTAATTCGGCGGGGAGGAAGGAAAACAGAGGATTATTTTTCAATTGTTTTGATAATGGGCAGAATCCACTCTGAAACTATTTGCTGAGTTCTAGGAACATTTGTGTGGTTTTTTTTATTTTTATCAAAATGAGGCCTTTTTTCCTTTTGGGTGCCAGATTCTGTCTATAGAAGAACAATAAGGAAGGCAGTGAGAGGACTCATTGTGTCTTCAGAGGAGCCCCCTACAAGAAGCACTTACATTTTGTAGTTTTTTGGATGGGCTTCTTTGCTGTTTTGCACCACAATAGCCCAACCACAGCACAGGATGGAGCTGCACAAAATAACTCCCAGAGGCAGCAGTTGTACTTCAGCAGTGGAAGGTCTTTTGTATTTGGGAGGGAGGAGGAGATGCAGAGAGCCATGGTCTGCATCAGGGGGAGTCTGGGTGTGTGCTGAGCCTTGTCCTGCTCGGCACAGGGATGCTCCTGTAGCTGCTCCACAATCCAGAGAGGCTGAAACCAGGATTGCCACGGCACAGGAATAGTCAGGCTGTGCCATCCTGTGAAGGACAAATTTTGTAGGCCCAAAGGTGAGCACTCAGTAGCCTTGATTTTAATCCTTCCTCTCTTCTTTTGCCCCTCTCTTTTGTCTCTGCCCCCTCTCTCCCTGAATTCCCATCCTCCCTCCCAACTGCAGGCCTTTCACAGAGGAAATCTATCGGAGGAAGCAGAAGGGAGTGAAGAGCAAGTAGCCCCAGGTACGTTTGCTGATGGGAGCATTCCAGAGGCTGCTTTGCTGGGCTCCCCCACCAACGAGCACCCCTGCCCAGTCCTGCCTTCCCTGGCTCCTCCCAAGCCCTTCCCACACTTCTCAAAGCATTTCAGCTTCAAGCCTCTGCAAAATCCCAGGCAGAGAGGCTTTTCACAGCAGCAGTGGTGTCCGCCTCTTGGCACCTGACCAGCAGCCCCCAAATTGTTTTGATTATACACTTGAGAATCAGTGCGAGGGAAAATTGCTGGGAAGCTTCGAGGCTCCAGGCTTAATCTGAATCAGGCAGAAAAAAACAACTGTTGGCCATGGCAGGTGCTCCAGAGAGTGGCAGGGATGGTGTGAGAGGGCATGTGTGCCTGCTCATCCCTCAGGGGAATCGGGCATCCCTGCTCCAGCTGCTCCTTGCCCGAGCCACGAACATTTCTGCCAGTGGGCTCACCCTAAAACCTCAGCCCAGGCTTTTTTGGGGAGCCAAAGGCTTCTGCAACAGCACAAGCTCCTTTCCTGGGGGTTCATTGCCATCTTGGAAGCCCCAGTGCATTTGCCTGCTGCTTGTTGTGGAGCTGGGACAGTCCCACGGCACCGCTGAGGTTTTGGCAGCAGCGTAAGTGCTGCTCTGACAGAGCTGCTGTGGCACCACCCAGGTCCCCCATGGACTCCTGTCCCTTTGCCTTTTGCAGAGCACTCTCTCGGGTACCTCGTGCCTCTCCGGTCTGATTTGCCCATTTTTCTGAGATGTATCCTAGTAATTAACCCAGCAACCCTTAATGAGCCGACTGAGCTCCCTGCAGCACTGGAAGTGACCAGAGGAACAGCCTGAGCCTGGTGGCAGCTCCTTGCCAAGCCCAGGGGAGATGGAGGTCCCTGTCCCCAGGCCTCTGTCCCGCTGCTCTCCGGGAGTTACGCAGTGCAGGACCTCCCCACCTCTTCTCCCACACCGATTATTGGAGACCTGCAGGAAAGAAGGAATTCCCTTTGGACTGGAGGGAAAGCAGAGTAGTGATGGAAACACCGGGGGCCTTTCATGAGTGAGCTCTGAGCATCTGGAAGCACCGGCTCCAGCTGATCCTGAAGATCTTGGTGCTGCCTAAGAACCACAACAAGCAGACAAAGCTCGGGTGCAGCAATGGAGAGAGCTCAGGAGCCCCTGAGGATTCAAGCACAGATGGGGAAGGAACAGGGGAAATTGCTGTGAGCTCAACAACAGCAAAAACCCAAAATCCAGCCCCTTCTTTTTTGGGAAAGGAACCTCCCCATCCAGAGCTGCGGTTTCCCACCCGTGCAGAGCCCTGCAGTGTCTCCACAGTATTGCAGAGTGACTGAAAAGCACAGGAATGTGAATGTATGACCTAAACCACAGCCCAGGGGCATGGAGGGATGGCAGCTGTCCCGTGGGGAAGCCCCAACATGGAGAAGAGCCAGGGGAAGAGTCAATCCCTGTCTGTACCTCACAGATATCCCAACCCTGGCCACGTTAATGCCCCAGCCCCTCCTTTTCCCTGTGTCCACATGAGGGTCCTGCTGCCTTTCCCACCACCCAGTGCCTTCCAGCTGTTTTTCACTGTCTTGCAGGGGCAATGGGAGGGAGGGAAGAGAGGGAAAGGTTTGTTCCTGCCGTCCACACCATGCAGCAGCCAGGTATGGATGTGCCCCTCCACCCCTGCCACCAACCTCACCATGTCCCAGAATTGTCCAGTGCTGAATCCTGCCTCGAACAGAAAGACTCCAGAGGTGATGCTCCAGCCCCAGGCTCTGTTTTCACAGATTCCCAGAACAGTTTGAGAAATGAACTGTAAATGATCAAACGAGCAGGTGCTGGAGAAGGGAGCTGTGCTGCTGCCGGCTCCCACACAGGCACTGGAATGTGGGGCCACATCTCAGCATCACATTGTCCCCTCCACAGAGGGTCCTCACCCTTCTCACTGTCACCTCCATGAAACGGTTCTGCTTCCTTTTGCTTTTACACATTGTAATTAACTCACCCTCCAGGCATTGCTCAGCAGAATTAAAAGTGTTGGTTTCTTTTCAGTCCGGCCTCCATTTCCTCCAGAAGGGCTCACAAATGCTGTGTTTGTGTTTCATCACTTCAGAACCATTACACATAGATTTATTTTTTTTATTGCCATCTCAACCACCTTCCTCTCAAAGATTTGGGCATAGTATTTTATTTTTAGATAAGTTTCCACATTCCCTTCACAGCTAATGTTTATAGACGGAGGCTAAACCGGCCCAGTACCCATAGCAACCATCGAGGAGAGGATACATTGCATTATTCAGACAATTTATGTCAGAGTTGCCAGTCCTGGCTCAAAGTCTCTGATGTCAATAAACTTGGATTTGTTGATAAGTGAAATCAGTATTTACTGAAGAAGCACATGCTCGTACGGGAAGAATTATTCCTAATGAGAACACAGCGAGGGCTGTATTTGTGCTGTTTCATTCCGGTCTGGGGACCACGTGTGCCTTTCCTATCCCTGCTGCAAGGCCAGAAGGGACCCCAGTTGTACCATTCCCCTCCCCAGCCAATATCAGCCTCCTAAAACGTGTGTCTGTCACCATAAACCCCAGTGGTGGAGCTGCTTCCCGTGCCGTGAGCGCAGGGGTTTGGAGCTGTGCTGGGACTGACTTCACTGACTCCTTCCCCCTTGATCTGCCATTTCCAGCCTTTCCCACTTCCCAGCCATTCTCTGGCAGCTTTGCATTGCACAAGGCTTTCTTCTGGGGCTGTGCCAGACACATCCCTGGTTTTAGTAGCTCTTTCCACAGAAGCCAGCACGGATTAAACATCTCTGCTTTCACAGAACTGGTTCTGGCTGCCATAAAGTTGGAGTTTGATATTTTAGAGGCATCTGCTCTCTTCCCTGAAGAGGGATGGTGAGGAGCTGGAAGTTCCAGTCCCAGTCCCAGTCCCAGTCCCAGTCCCAGTCCCAGTCCCAGTCCCAGTCTCACGTGTTGCTGTGCTGTTCCCCAGGGCTGCAGGGAGGGAGACACAGAGGCACCGTTATTTATGTTGTTTTATGGTATTTAACAGCAAGGCATTAGGTGACTCTCCTTGGTTATAAGGAAAAAAAAAGTGACTCCTCTGCAATTGCCTAATATTTCCAAGAATTTGAGATTACACAGGGAGGGGGTGAAACCTTCAGGCTGAGCACGAAGCGCTGGTGGTGCCGCAGCTGTTTCCCCTCTTCTGGCTGCAGCTGGGACACATCCTGCACGGATGCAGGGATGGATCTCATGGCCAGGGTCAGAATGTGAGTCCTGCTGCTTCCAGAGGAGAGACCTGCACTGTGGGACCCCCAGGACCAGCCCGGTGCAGCCCCAGCTCTGCACTGGCACAGGCAGGAGCGTCCAGCTCCTGCAGAGCCATCAAGGACCAAATGGGGTCCCTGGAAATGGGGTCATGGGGCCATTTTCATACTTTCATGCCTTCAAAATCCAGCACAGGGCCTGCTGGGCCCACTGGAGCTTGGCAGGGGGGTTGTTTGCAGCCTTGGGAATTGCTTCACGTGATGCTGTGTGCTGACACCACAGATAACGCTTCCTTTGAAGTTTGGGATATTTCTCCAGAGCAAACACCAGGAAAGGAGAAATTAGTTAAATCTCAACCCCTGCCTGGCAGGGACAGCTGGGTCACCAAGGCCATAGCTCTGTGCTGCCTCAGGTCCCCCCATCCCACCAGACAACCTCTGTGCCCACTCTCACGGAGGTTTTCTCTGCCTGGTTGCTTCCATGGCTCCCCCACACATCTCCCTCCCATGGAACTGCACATGGTAATTCCTTGGGATGAGAGGATCAGCTGTACAATGAACACCCCAGCAACAGGGATGCAGGGCCAGCTCCACACTCACAGAATGCTCCATCCAGGAAAACTTTGGGAAGCGGAGCCTGCATCCTCTGGTCCTTTCCCTGATGGTGATGACATCCAGGAGCAGGGACACATTCCCAAAGGCCCTTCCCTCCATTGTGACCGCCTGTAACCCCGTGCCAGTGTTTGCTTTCGCCCAGGGAAGCTGTGCTGCCTTGCCCCAGGGATGGCCACCGGCCCTTACGTGGCAAACAAACACAGAATAAACACGTGGCGCAATCGGGGCAGCACGTGCGGCACTGGCAGCACTGGGAATTCACCATTCCCACCCTGCTCCTGCCTGCTGAGTCTGCACTTTGGCTCTTTGGGAAGATGGCAGGAAATGAGGAGCTCAGGGCTCTGGTGAGGGCTCCCAAACCCATCCCAACACTGAAGCAGAACCTTGGCTTTTTTGCCAGTGGTTGGGATTTGATGTAAAAATAAAGATGAACTCAGAGTTCTGGGTGCTGCTTTATTGAGGATCCCTTAATCCAGAGAAGGTGGACAGGGGACACGACAGAATTTATCTTTGCAGGGGAATAAAGCAATCTGTTCTATCCCTGTTGTGTAGGGAAAGCATTCTGGACTTTAAATGCTCACAAAGCAATGGTGAGATTGCCCTGGAGGGAAACTATTCCCATGTGGGAAACCCCCAGTGCAGGAACCCAAACAAATGCCTGGGATGCAGGATGGGGGTCCCAGGGCTGAGCTGCCCGGGTTTTGCCGCCAGGTCCATGCTCAGGGATCTGGGATACAGGCAGTTCCCAGCTCACTGGTGTTCAGGGAAAGCTTGGAAATTTCCCCCAGTGCCAAGAGAGCAGCAGCAGCAGCACCCCATGGCCACTGTCCCCCTGGCATCACCCCTGGCATCAGGGACAGGGTGGAGGAGACTCCATCCAACCCAACCCAGCCCATTTCCACCCTCACTCCGGGGGTCCTTACGCACGGAGCTCCCACCATGAGGCAGAGGACAAGTTACGAGGCTGTTTTCTTTAATTTTCACACTCAAAAGCTGCCCCGAGACAGCCCGGTGAGCCATATCCTCCTTGGATCCAGTTTCAAAGGGAAAAAATGGTAGGAATGTGCTGCTTTTTCCATGTTGCGTTTTCTTCGGGAGGAGCTGTTTACGGAGCGCGGCTCCTTTCCCAGTCAGGGTCGCAGGAGGGCTCAGAGCCGCCAGAGTCCTGGGAAGATGTCAGGGCCAGGCTGGGATGGGAGCCTCAGGGGTCCTGGATTTGGCCACTGGCTCAGCTTTTGCCCTGCTCAGCTCCCCCAAATCCCAACCTCAGCCCCTCCGGACCCCCGGGAGCAGATGTGGGGCCTGAGAGGAAACATCTCCGGGCTCCGAGCTCTCAGCACTTCCCCCTCCCTCTGCCAGCTCCTGCCTGGCATTGCCCACCCTGCTCCCTCCTCCTGGGCTTTCATTTCTGTCCTGCCAACCCTGCCAACCATCGCTATTTCCACAGGAACCTTCCTGAAATGCGCAGTAATGCAGCCACTGGGGTCACCAAGCCTCCCTCTCCCCTGAGCCTTGTATTCCAAGCCCAGTTGCTGCCTATCTCCAGTTACAGGTGACATTCCTCCTAAATCCCAGAGAAGCTGAAGGAAATTCTGCTCTTTGGAAGGAAACAGAAGGTGCTGGAGTTTGGGGACACGTCCAGGACATGGAGACACCTTCGTTCGTACTGACAGGATTTTGCATGACCTGTGGGCAAGAGGATGGGATGAAAGGAGATGGAAACTGGGAGCAGGGGATTTCCAGGGTGCTCCGAGCCAGGATCAGCATCATGCTGAGCATGTGGATGGTGTCTCAAGGGACCTCTTGCCACTCCTTGCCTGGGTAACTCCAGGAATTGGGGATTTGAGACATCTCAGGCTTTCAGATCCTCTGTTAATCAAATCCCAAGTGCTAAAAGGAATCAAGAGACACGAAAAGTGTTGCTAAAGAAGCAGGGGTTGGGGGAGGGAAACAAATAAAGCCAACCCCCAGTCCCCAGAGAAGGAGCAGCTTCTGCATCATATCTCATCTGGGAAAAATTATATTTTGGGAATTATGTGCTCCTTCTGAAAAGCTTTAAAGAGATTTAATAAAATGAGACAAGCTAATAATATAGGAAATGAATAGCAACCCTGGATGCTGCATCTTGATTTAATCAGATGCGTTTCCTCAGGGGGACAAGCAAGAACTATGGCTAAAGTCTCCCTTCCCTTCCCTACCCAGCTGCTCCCCTCTTCCTCTGACCATTCACTCCTCCCACCCCAGGGGAGCAGCCAGGGCAGGATTTGGGGTCCCACAGCAGCTGCTGGGAAATGCACAGCCCACGCTGGTTCTTTGGGAGCGGGATAAGGAGCTGGACACCCTCCAGGGAGAGGGGCTCTGTCCAAAGAACAGTCCTGGGGGAGAAATTGGGGAGCCAGGAGAGCTGGGCTTGGCTCCATGTGTACGGTTGCTCCAGAGCCCAGGAATGCTGTGCGCTGCTGCACAGGGGATGAGCCCCTGGCAGGATGTGGAGCATCTCAACAGCGATGATAAGGAGCTCATATGGGATGTGCCCCTCTCCAAGGCCTGGGACAGCTGCAGGATCTGCATGTGCCAGGTGAGAACAGCACAAATGGCTCTTCCACTCCTGTTTCACTGCTCAGACCTGCAGGACCCGGCCGTGAACCGAGGCCAGCCCGGCCCCGGGGGGATGATCCTTCCCAGCTCTGCAGCACACTCAGAAACCAAACTCATGTTCTGATGTAATTGTCCTTTTCCAAGTATCCCCCGCTCGCCTGTCCCTGTGCTGGGCACCCCGGTGCCGCTCCTGCTTCCTGGAACATTTTGCTTCCTACATTTTTGCCGTGGTGCTGCTGCTGTGAGCTCTGTTTTGCTGCTGCACAGTTCGTCCAAGCCAGGCCCTGGGGAGCCGCGTGTTCTGTCACCGGGATGTTTGTGTGACTTTCGTGGAATTTCCTTTCCTCAGCCGCTTGCTTGCGGACGCAGGGTGAGTTTTTCTGGTTGGCAGGTGGCTGGTAAACCGAGGAGGGTGAAAATAGGGAGGGAAATAGCAAGAAAACAAGGATTGATCTGTGCTGAAGGTGATTCCATTAAAGGTGTCACTGGGGTTTGTGCAGAGCATCCTGCCTGCGGCTCTGGCTGTGCTGAGCTGCTGCATGAAAGAGATTCCATCCTCCAAAACCA